AGGTCTCGAGCGCCATCCCGGCGAGTGGGCGCCCGCCGACGCCCCGCCCCCACCCCCAGCGCGCTCTGCGGCGGACGCGTTGAGCCTTGCGTGAAATCGTTTGTCCCCCGCTTTCTCCACCCGCGCCGCCCCGCTTCCTCGGCCTCCTTGCGCGCGGGGCAGGGGGCCGAGGTTGGTTTCCCCGCCGCGCCGTCGCTTTCCATCGTCGCCTCGCGGACGTGCGTGGGAGGAGGACGAGCTTTCCTCAGAGCGCCCCTCCCCTCCCCTTCCCTTCATCCTCTACTCCTCCCGCGGGCACTCTCATCTCGCCGTGAGGGAACGCGACATTGTCTCCGAGGAAAAAGGTTCGCTCGCGGACGCTCTTTGCTATGGCCACGTCGCTTTCTCCTTATTTGTTCCGTTTTGTCCCACGCTGCAATTGTAGCCTGTGTGTTTCTGGTTCCCAACGCCATGGCTATGGATTTTTTCAGAATTTTTCGCTAGCGTATGATGAACAGGACGAAGGAATTGTGAACTTCCTTATTTGTGTGGAAAGTGAACTTCCGTGCAGAGTATTTTCCTGAGAACTTGCTCCGTAGATCTATATCACTTTCATAAGTGTATTTATTTAATTGCAGATTAGGTTATAGTGGAGTGTGTGGAGAGCTAGATGCTGCAGTAAAAATGTTAATTAAAATCACATCATAAAGAAGAAGCGTTTCGTGATAAATTCATAGCTCGTGGTTAATATCTGGGCTCATAAATATAATTATGGCTTTATAATCGTTTCAGTGTTTCTAAAGAACGAGGAATCGACGAATTAACAAATAATCTCTACGAAAAGTATTTAGACTTGAGCAAAATACATCAAAAGTATTCATCAAAGAAACGAAGTACAACAAATACAAAATCATAATCTTATAGCATACAGCTGATTTTAATAATGTATTTATTAATTTTAATCATTAAGTATATAGTAATTCACCATATAGTAATTCAAATTGATTTTAAAGAACGCATTTCGTAGATGGATCCCACAGTACAAGATAATTATCGTCAAAGATTAAAAATGCGTGTTGCGTTGTCAAGAGACGAATTCTATTTAAAATTTAAAAAAATTATTTTTAACCGCCCTTCTTACACAGATTAATCACAAAAATCACCACAAAACTATTTATTTTTGAAAATTATTACTTGTATTAATAATGTTTTTAATAAAATTAGTTCACGGGATTGGTCAATGTGGGTAAAGATACAATTAGTTGTGCCTTGTTTCCTTACCCACACTGACTAACCACGTGAACCAATTTTATTATTCATCAATGGTCATGATTTTTACAATGGTCAATAATGTTTTTAATTTAACTTCGTGAGGTAAACTCTAAATGTATTTATTCGGTTGGCGTGAGAGCGGTTTGATATTATAGTGTCACTTTTCAATTCATGTTTTTTTCACTATTTGTCATTTTTCTCCTGTTGGGAACAGTCGCACTTTCTCTTACAAACAACTAGAAAGTTTTGATGGTTGTGTTAGCTAGTAATACAATTGAAGAAAACTAATATTTTTTTTCGTCAAACTGATAAAGTCAATTCATATAAAGCCATGATGCAGACGTTTTTGTTACCCAAAGCTTCATTTAAATTTCCCGGTCTAAATCACGTCAAGTTTAGGTCTGTCAATAAAATGTTTTTGTATTTGTTGTACTCAGCGTCATTATAACTAAACCATTTGATAATTATATTGTCAGAGTGATAATGTGTTACAATGTTTCTATTTCTTGCACATTTTTTTACCTGGATATTTAGAACAACTTGATTAATGTAAAAAATAATTGAAAGAAATATACACAGAAAATATGATTAGAACTATTTGTTGCCCTGGAAGGCGAATTGTAACGTTCGAATCTCGCTGCGAAGGTGTGCATTCAAGATTATTCCTTTCCTCGAAATGAATCGCCAAAGGAACGTATCCTGTAACATGCTGATATCAAAAATGCAACTGCTCCCAGATGACTTAACCACTTAACGGATTTTCTATTTACCCATGAAGGGGCAATTTCAAAAGATGTGAAGTATCATTTTACAAAGACGAATTCATTTATGAAATGGTTGTCTCAGTGTTTTTTCTCGAAATGTAGAGGCTGTATAAACATGCAGATGGTCGTGATGAGACAAATAGTTGTTCACTCAGAACATCCTGCTCTGAGTGTAATGTCTCATCATTAGGGGCCGGATATTAATGAAAAGTAATTTTCTCCCGTTTCACTTTAGAACAATGACCTTTAGTATAGAAATTAATTTTATGTTATGACAAAAGGAAAGAATCCAT